GTGACGCTGGAATTAGATAAAACGAGCCAACTCAATGCCTTCTGGGATCGGATCCATTCTGGGAATCGACCTCCGATATTGCAAGATCGGATCACGAGGGTTTGTAGTTGGAAAAAAGGAGGCACCCAATCGTACGCTAACCTCAACTCTAGCATGCTCATAGAAATGGAATTTAATCTTGTCAGGTTAGCAAAGTGAGCCTCTGAAAGCGACCCGTTGAAGCGGTTGGAAGATATGTTGATCGTCTCGAGATTCGGTAGTTTCCCCAAAGAAATTGGGATATCCCCACTCAATTGATTCGCGTTAAGTCTCAACTCTCTCAGGGCTCTCAAACTTTCGATTGATGTCAGGATTGGACCAGATAGCCGATTATAAGAAACATCGAACGATACTAATGCCGATAATTTCCCGAGAGAGGTTGGAATATGACCGTATATTCTATTCTGCCGCAAATTTAGATTCTCCAATTTGTTGATCCAACATCCGGACAAGTTTCCGACAACTCTCGATAAGTCCCCGTGGAGTTGGTTACCGCCCAGTTGCAATGATCTCAAGTGGCATTTATCCCACATGAAATTAGAAATCCAGTCGGTGTCGTGGTAAAGATTGTTGGAATCAAGGTCGACGTGTGCAATGTTGTTTGGTAAAAGAAAACGAGGGTTGTGATCAAAAGAATTATACTTGTTGTACGACAGATCGAGGAATTTTAGTGAAGCCATATTCCGGAGGAAACAAGGAAATTCTCCACCGAACGAGTTAGCGCTCAAATCAAGGTATTGAACTTTAGAAAGCAGTGTAAAATTCAAGCAATCATGGGGTAGATTTGTGTTATCAAGTTCGGTTAAAGACAATTTCAACACCAATAAACGAGGAAGCTTTCCAAGTACCTTAACTAATGACCGATCGTATTTCGTTCCGCTAAGATTGACTTCACTCAAATCGAGATGCTCCAAGAACGATAGATTACTAGCCCACGATAGATCTTCAACTATCAAATAATAATTATTATTACCGAGATCAAGTTTACGCACACTAGGCCAAAACACAGTTCTGGCGACGTTTAAATTTGCGAGTAAATACGAATCGTCGCATATTTGCGACGATTTTGACTGCATTAGTCGCAACAGTTTAAATCCCGCCTTTGACTCAAAACCTTTGCGACGCAAGTACAATATCGTCGCCAAATGGCGACGAATGTTCTCAAAAACGTCGCAACGGGAATACAAAATTATTTTCACATATTTTTTAGACGAAAAAACGACAAACGTCACACAAAGTAAAAAAAAAATTATTTTTAAATTACATTATAGCGACGAAATCAGAGGAATCGTCGCAAGGAGTTTAAATTACTTTTTTCCCCTGCTCTATTTGCGTCGATTTCACAAAACGTCGCATTTAGAATAAATTATTTTTAATTTTAATGTTTTCGTAATTAATATTGCGACGAATATTTATCAGAATCGTCGCAAGAGTTTTCACATCCCCAAATTCTCGAGCCCAGGATGCTACGAATACAGAAAGGTTTCAAACGATTTAATTTCTATTATTTTTTGGCGACGATTCATTTAAAAATGACGCAAAATTAATTTAAGATTTTATTTTTATTTAATTTTCGCGTCGACTATGTTAATTTCGTCGCATAAGAGAATGGATAAAGACCTAATTCGTTTCAACCCACTGCCCAACTCCCCCTTCTCTCTCTTTCTCTCTCTCTCTTTATACTGTTGAAGCTCCGCCGTCGCCGTCGCCGTTGGCGGCGTCGTTCTGCCGGCGCCATTCCACCATCACCACCACCTCTGCTCCATCTGTATCTCGTCTCTCTCCCTCTCTATCTCGTCTCTCTCTCTCTCTCTTTGTTCTCTCTTTCTTTCGATTTTTTTTCTCTTGTAGATCAACTTCTTTATTTCTCTCACTTTCTCCGGTGAGTTTACAACATCTCCTCCGGTTGTTGTGCTGTTTAAAGCGGCGGGCGGATCTCGGTAAGGTTAATTAACGAATTATATTTATCTATCTTCTTCTATATCCCTCTCAATTTTTGGGTTATTGTTTTACTTGAAAGATCAAAACTTTGTGTTCTAATTTTGCCCTAGAGAGATTTGTTTGAACAGGTTTGAGTATATGACACAAAAAACACACAAATTTTATTTATTTGTTTATTTTTAAAATAGTTTTTGGTGAATTTTTTTTTTTTTTTTTACTTTGTGCTTTTTAGCTTTGGAATAAATTGAACATACAAAATTTATATACTGCATCATTTCTCTGCCGACCTATCCCCTCGTAGTGAGTGCCTTTAATTTCTGAAACAAGAAAATTCATTATTTGATGGGTTCGAACGAAGAATTGCCGGAGGGAACACTGCAGAATATACTGGAGCAGGATTCGCTCAAGTGGATATTCGTCGGCGGAAAGGGCGGCGTCGGTAAGACCACCTGCAGCTCTATTCTGTCGATACTGCTCGCACGTGTGCGGCCTTCCGTACTCATCATCTCCACCGACCTTGCGCATAACCTAAGCGATGCGTTCCAGCAGAAGTTCACCAAGACTCCCTCCCTTGTTAATGGCTTCTCTAACTTGTACGCCATGGTATGTTAGCTAATCACTCCTCAATTTCCCCCAATTTCATAACCCTTGAAATTAGGATTCTGATTGTTGTAATCGTCTGTTTGTTTGGGTTGGAATTTATTGTGATTGGGTCTTACTTTGATATATTATGATTAATCATCTCAATGTTGATGGATGTCGATACTCGTTTCGATTGGGGATTGTGTATACTTCTGTACAGTAAATGGGCTGTCACTGAATTTCAAGATGTAATTTTTATCGAATAAATTCCGACAGCTACAGGGCATTGTATTGGTTCGTCCCTCTTTACATTTTTGCCCTGTGTGGATTTTATTTGGTCCAAGCATTCGGAAAAGAAAAAAAAGAGATTTTCGTTTTTCGGAAATCGCCGTGTTCATACATGAAATTGGTTGATATTATATATGGGATTAATTTATGTTTGGTCGTATAGGAAGTTGATCCGAATGTGGAACACGATGAGAGTGGTGGTTCAGATATTTGTGTATGTGTGCTGATTTTGTGTGTATGTGTTGATTTAGTGTGTATGTGTGTGCTGATTTTGTGTATGTGTTAATTTAGTGTGTATGTGTGTGTTGATTTTGTGTGTATGTGTTGATTTAGTGTGTATGTGTGTGCTGATTTTGTGTATGTTTGTGCTGAATATATGTGTGTGTATGAGAATGAAATGGCAACCTCTAAACATGATGTGAATGACAATGGGCAGGTTTATAATTTCATTTGGAAGGGATACCAAACAGATCAGGCTGATAAATGCCGAGAATCCCGAATGAAAATCCCTACCGACCACCATTGGGATCGAACTAGTATTAGTGAGTGGTCTCATGAATATGTAAGTCTAGTCTTATATGTTTTTTTGTTAAATTTTTCGGATTATATTCATGTTTATTTTATATTGCGGTAAGTTCACCCTTAATTGTTTTGTATGCTGAATTAGTTGGTGGGTTTTGTTTTGGTATTGTGTGTTTGATCTATTATATTGTTTGGTATATATGTTGAATTGGTTGATGTGTTTTCTATACCTATTGATATTTTTTTTGGTATGTCCATACAATAGCTGTTATGCTGCCCAATTTTTTGATTAATTTATGAATTTATGATTATTTGTTTGTATTTGCAGGATGACTTGGAAAGAGTATACGAAGAGTGTATTAATGATGGAAAAGATCAAAGCACGAGACGAAGTGAGCTCACTCAAAGAATCTTTGAACTCTTTACATAATACGTTAAGACAAAAAGGAATCGTAGATCAGCTCGTCTCCAAAACTCCAAATTCGGGTACCTCAAATGGCGATGAAGACTTGCTCAATTTGGATTAATTTCATTTTGTAATGCTACAATATTTTTCTAAGTTTTTATGTAATTCTAGATTCATATATGTACTGTTGACTTGGTATTTAATTTTATGTAGACTTTAATTTTAAAATTACTGTGTAATTTAATTTAGTAGTTCAATTATTTTAGTAAAATTAATAATTATTTATAGGTGATTTATTGTAAAAAATAATATATATATATATATATATATATATATATATATATATATATAT